TACCTTTAGCATTTATATTTTTCTCTGTGTATCTTACAGTATTTTGCATACACATGAATAGAGAGTTATTTCCACTGCCAGCTGAAAAGCAATGATCTGTCTCTCTGTAAAGGTTTTGCTATGAGTGAAAATGACACTGTGGCACTTTCTTTTTTTAACAGTCTGAGAAACATCTGCAAGAAATGCTATAAAAGATTGAGGCATTATGATTATAGCCAGTAATGGCATTTCCATATAAGGTGGCAGCAAACTAATTAATCAGACATGAAAATCTGTGCCTGCCAAAACTTGGTTTTGGGGGCTAATAAATAATAATCAGAATACTCTATGATTGCTTAAGACCCTCCCCATGCCAATCCTTAAGCATTTGTATAATTTTACTCCTTTATGTAATCCCTCCAAATGCAAATAAAATGCAAATGTTGGCAGGCTCAGACATTTCTGAAGAGGCCTTTTCACACCACCTAACATTAGGCACAGGTTTACCAGCAGGGAGCTCAGTCCTCCTTTGCTCCTCATCCATCTGGACTAGAGTGGCTGGGCACCCTGGCTGGGGCACCCAAAAAAAGATGAGCCATAAAGCTTCATCCTCCTCAGTCACTACTCAGACCCAACTCTGTGCATTTATGGAAATCCCCCACTGTCCCACGTCCTTCCTTCACCCAGCCCTGCAGGAGCACCAGGAGCAGCGCCTGCAGAGGGAAGAGGTGGTGACCACGCCTGCCCTTCCAGGCTCTGGCCCATCACATCGCCTGCCCCGGGCACTCCATCCCCAACAGCCGGCCAGTGCCTGCCCTTATGGATGCTGCCCATTGTTCGGACAGATGTGCCACATGAGAGACCACAAGTGAAGATATTTGTCAGCCTTCATTTCACCGAGGAAGTACTGGAGCAGGGACAGCAGCGAGCAGCAGCGCGGGCACAGGCAGTGCTGCCGTAACCTCGCTGGATGCCTGTCAGGTTCTGCTTCCTCCTGGCAAATTGCAAGTGAAGTCTGCTGAACACTTTTGAGCACTTTCCAGGTTTCAGATGATTCTCACTGACAGTTTTGCTAGATAATTTTTTTCCCACAGTTATCGCACTGGAAAAGCTCCCAGCTTTCAAATAGGTACTTTAAAATACATTTAATTTTCTCTTCCACAGTGAATTAATTTATTTTAATATCTTGCTTTGTCTCCAGGCTGCACAATGGTGAAGCAAGTGTTGATTTCTACTTTTCTTAGCCAAGAAAGACCTTAATTTAAAAAGCTGTGGCTGAAATTTTAAATGAGCCCACAACAGGAATATTGTTTTCGAGGTCAACTCCACGTGAGTACCATGTCCTGTTAGATTAGCCTGACTGACAAACCCATGATAGTGAGGTAGCCAAAATGCATTTGTGTTGTTCCTTCTCAGGCTCCATGTTAATTCACACCACAATTTGAAAACAAACTGACTCATATATAGCTGGTAAAATAGGAACCCACAGAATAATTAGAACTTCAAAAAGAAAACATCAGTTTTTAAAAAATGCATTGAGATATATAATGTAAAATAGAAGTTTCCAAAAGTTGATTATTCTCCTCGCTGAAATTATGTTCACTTAGAATCAAAACATAATTTTATTTAAATGATATTAAATTAATAGATATAGAAAGAGAGGTGATGATAAACAGATTATTTCAAATCATGACTTGAAGTACATTCATGACACTTTTAAAACTGAAGTTATAAACAGTTTTCTGTTTTTTAAAAATAAACATTTCCCTTTTACAGTTGGAAATAAAAAGGACCACAGCATGCAAAGCATCTCAAAAGTAGAATTTCAGAACGTTGCTGATGGTGTTGTTAGAACACAGTGGCAGAAGAGATCAAAAAGAACATTATTATAAAAGAAATGCACATAATAGTAACAATAATAATATTATTGTTGAACTATTAATAATGAATAATGAACTATTTTGGAATACTTTCTATCTTTTAAAACAAACTATTTGTTACTAATTTGTTCCCAGAATTGCTTGAAAAAGGCAGATTGTGGGGTGATGACAATGTATTACCTTCTATTTGTCTAGTATGATGATCCCTTAAGCCACACACATGTCTGTGACCCCTCCTAAAAACCATCAACTGAAATGCATATTACATTGCCTCCCTGTTGTTTGTTTACTTTTTTCTTTCTCCTGCATTTGGCCTGTTCATGATGGGATAGGCTGGGACCTTGTTTCTGGCACATGAAAGACAGGGGGTTTTGCAGGGTCTGAAATTCTGACCATGAAATAGTGTATCTTCATGTGGCTGTCCTCCATTAGGGCATGGACAACACATTTCAATACATGCAAGAGATGTTAACAAAAGGGTTTAAGAATGAACTTCTTAACAGTGAACTTATGGTCCTCCCATCTGAGCAAAGACACTACTAAACTGTAAAATTTCAGGGCAGCAATGATAGTCAAGTGTCCAGGATGGTTTCTGGATGAGCAACAAGTGGTTACAGCAGCACTTCTCAGCTGGAGAAGAAATGGCCTGAGGGAAATGACAGGCCAAAGCAATCAGACATGGCCTGAGGGAGGCATATAGCAATCTGATGTTTGCTGTCACTTCCAACACAAGAACTAAGGGACATAACCTAGAGCTGATAAAGAAATATAAAACAAAGCAACAGGAAAGCAGTGGTTGGGCAGTGAACCAACAGGAACTTGCTGCCAAAGTCACAGACGCGCTGTGGAGGATGTGGAAAATTTACATGGGAATCAAAGGTGGACTGAACAAATATCTGGAGGAGACATCCCTTGGTGGTTATTACACAGGTAGAAACCATAACCAGGAAATCCCTAAGCTTAAAATACCTTGAGGCTGAGAACACTTGGGGGAAGGATCACACATAGACGCATAGAGGACAGGGAGTGATTCAGGACAGCCAGCACAGGCAAGTTCTGTCTGACCAAGCCAGTGGCCTTCTACAGCAGGCTTCCACAGCAGTGGACAAGGGAAGGGCTACAGATGCCCTTTATATGGACTGCTGTAAAGCCCCTGACATTGTCCCCACAATATCCTTCTCTCTAAATTAGATGGATTTCATGAGTGGACTGGTAGACTGACAATTAAGTGGCTGAATGGTTGCATCCAGAGGGTAGTGGTCAATGGCTCAGAGTCCCAATGGACAGCAGGGACAATTGTTGTCCCTTGGAGTCTGTACTGGGACCAGTGTAATTTAATATTTTAAAAAATTACATAGATGAAGTGATTAAGTTCACTCTCAGCAAATTTGCAGATGGCACCCAGCTGTGTGGCGCTGTTGACAGGCCAAAGGAGCAGGATGCCATCCAGAGGGACATGGACAAGCTCAGGAAGTGGGCATAGGGGAATCTGGTATGGCTTAACAAGACCAATGTAAGGTGTCCTGAGTCAACCCCTGGCATCAACACAAGTTGGGGGATGAAAAGAGCAAGAGCAGCCCTGCCCAGAGGGGCTTGCTGATGGGTGAGAGGCTGGACATGACCCAGCCATGTGCCCTCCCAGCCCAGAGAGCCAAACCTGCACTGGGCTGCATCAAAAGCAGCCTGGGCAGCTGGTAAAGGGAGGGGATTCTGTCCTTCTGCTCTCTTGATACCCCACCTGCAGTGCTGCCTCCAGCTCTGGGGTCCTCAGCCCACACAGTGGGGCTGGACTGTGAGCTCCAAAGGCTCAACCACTTAACATTACATTGAAGCAAATATAAATTTTACAGAAAGTCCTGGGGTGAACTAAGCCATATTGAGGATGCCCTAGCCAGCAGTGACTTATAGGCAGTATAATATAGTAAAAATAAAAACATCTCAAAAGCAAAAGTCTTATGCAGGTTGAAGTATTGCAAATTTCTTCTCCAAAAGCCCAACATACTGGTGGCCCAGCAAGCTGTGGGAGAGCAGCCATTTGTGAGCTGACATGGATAAGGATCAGCTTCTTGTTTCCAGCCTCACTGCTCTTCGCTTTTCAGCTCTGGGAGAGTAAGGGACCCCTTCCAGCCCTGTTTTCTTCACACTTGTTGTGTTTGTCAGATATCATAATACTCTTGACAGAAACTGTCTTAGATTGAGAGACAAGTAAACCACCGTGACAAGCTTACAAGCATGGCATGATTTACAGTCCAGCCTTCGATTTATGTCACTCTGTATATTGGAAGATGAGCCTACAGGAAAGCAGCATTTCAGTTTATTACCTATGAGCAAAACCTGCCTTCCTCAGCAATCCACAGATGAGTTACGTGCCTTCCCACAACGCTTTAACTGCCCTCTGGTGTCTTCCCTCAAAAGAACAGCCTTTACTCCTACTATCCATCAGCTGAGCCGAATCTCTGAGACAAAATTCACCATCATAAAAGGAGCTCTGGCTCACAGCTGGGCTGAATTTAACCCTGAAATATGGGAAGAATGCAGGAAGCAGAGCTGTCCACCTGTGCTGACACATCTCTCGTGTCACTGTGCAGACAGAAGGGCACTGCCCCAAAGAAACGGGCATCTCCATCAGCGTATCCATTGAAATCCTTGGCCTGAAAAGCTACTGCCACACAAATACAAACCTTTTCAGTAAGATGGATTACTAAGGCAATAGTATCCCTAGGTTTCTTTCAACTAAGTCTGGCTTTGAAGAGATGACAAAGTGAAAAACCTGTGTCTGCTGTCTGAAAAGGAGGGTACAATCTTGCATTAAGTTCATTGCCAAATACTGTGCAGGCTTGGCAGCAAGTATTTGCAGCAGTGGATTTTAACCATTACTCAGCATTTCATCTCTCTCTCTCCTTGCATTTCTACCATGCTCTCATCACACTTTCAGATCTTATGAAAATAATTTCACCATTCCCCCAAGTTACTCAGTATCCCCTACTGAGTTAATTTCCAAAGAACAACCTGACATGAAAAATAATGTGCTACCAAAGTCTTCACTTTTTCAACCCCAGCCTATTTAAAGATTGTTTTAAATCCACAAATGGAAAACACAGACTAAACACAGAATGCAGAAGGACTGGAGCAGGCTCTTACCCAGTGATCTTTCCTTTGTCTGGTTTGCTGACCGCACAACGGGAAGACTTGCCCGCGTGCGGCTGCCCCTTGAAAAGGGGGTTGGAGAATCACCTTCTGACATGACCTCTAAGGAATCAGCAGATGCTTCAGAGAGGTGTTCTGTGTGGTCACCCAAATTGGACTGTGGGCTCTGGGACGGCTTCGGGCTTCTTGTCTGCAAAACAGAGTATTTCCTTATTAGTCTACTGAAACCAGAGTGTGGGAGGAAAAAAAATCAAAGAGAAGAAGGAAGGAGTTCAATTCTTCAAATTCTGGTATGCTGGAGGTCACTTGTACAGATTATTTAGGAAAAGTGTCCTTGGATATTCCGCTGCAGTTTTTGCGGTTGTATAGCCACATTGCAAATTTTGTTGCTAACAAGGCCATGAGGATAAGACTTGTGCTGAGGAGACATACAGTAATGCCATTCTCCTTGTCCACACACACACACACATGTATACTCTAATTTTATCAAATCTGCTAAGAAAAATCCTCTGAAAAGCAGTACTGTAATGGAGTAGTGAAGCTATCAATTTCAGTATCTTCTGCTGTGCCAGGTCATGCAGCATAGCCAAAATAGCGATCCAACAATTCTAGTTGAAATCATAAACAATTACTTTTTGTTGTTGTTGCACCAGCATAAATCAGAACTGTCTTCATTAACTGACCAAATTAATTATGACTTTTACTGCAAAATCATATTAGTAATTGATAAACACAGCTGCTGGGAAAAAACCCAGCTCTTCCAGGAGGGGAGAGATATGGTTTCATTTATGCACTTCTACCAAGACTTCACAGTAGGATCTGCCTAGTAAAAACACATTCAATAGGAAATAAAATGTCCTGAACATTTTTTACAAACTATAAATGACATTAAAGCCCTTTCCACAAAAAGGGGTTGCTTTAAGAAGCATAGCCAATATTGTGTAGTGAAACCCTCTCACTCACAACCACATGTACTATTACTCTGGAAGAATAATTTCCTGGTCTCTCTCAATCAAACCATATCACAACAAATGGAAACATACAAAGCAGAAATTCAAAGCAAAGCAAGCTTACTAGGTTCCAAATCCAGTATGTAAATACGAACTTTATAGACATCTATAATCAGCACCAGGCACAAGATAGCATTAAAATTATAAGTTTTTACCTCCCCTATCATTTAAGGTCAGATGCTATTATGTTAAAAATTGTATCAAAATCAACTTCAACTCTAGGTTTGAAGCTGCTGTCAAGATCCAAACAAGATTATGCTTCTTTCTGGAAAGCTAAGCTAACTAATCTTGCTGACATCTGTTTCTTTCAGTGGTTTTTCAAGTGTAATGAGCAAAAGTCATTTCAGCATCACATACTATTCCTTATGTGACTTTGAATGTATGAAGAGCTTCAACTTTTATTGCATTTTCATTAGCTGGCTGTAGAGGTCTGTTCTTGCCAAGTTGTGCAGTTGCTCACAAATTAAAATTATTAGATATACCTCACAAGAAAGTAAATCCTCCAGAACTACTCACTTTCTAAATTCTAATATTAAAATAGTAGATACTATCCAATGTCCTACAGTGAAATTGTTCAAGAGCATTGAATATTATGCAGGACTTAAAGCTAACAACATTTTTTCTAAAGTATGCTTTGAAGTGCCTCTGACATGGTCAGCATTAGTCTGCAGGTTGTAAATACAAGGACTTGTGCCAGGAAAGTTACAGAGGTGACAAGGGACCTGCAAACACAGAAAAGAATCTGATAAGATAGTACTTCTTCATTAAACTTTCCAAAATGGCTTGTGAACCATCACTGCTGAAGTATTTTGTTTACACAGGCACATTACGGAAGTATTACCAAGCCAAGACATTACAGCTCTGTAGCTCCTTGTAGTGATTAAAAACTTATCTGTATAAATCCATTCATAGGGAGCTAGAAGGCATATAATTCACCCTTTCTAGAAAACCATGACTAAAAGAAACAAGATTAAAAAAAAGGCAACAAAATCAATCTACAAAAGATCCTTCGTTTCAGAGTTTGTAGGGAAGGAGATTGCTTTTGTTTCTTAAAGAAAATATATACTTATAAAATGGAAATATGGATCAAGTTTACTTTGCTTTGCTTTTGCTTATTTTTTTCTCTTCAATTTATAATAAAATAATCCCCAAATGTCATTTGAGACATGCAGTTGCATGTGTATTGTTCATTGATAATATGAACAGATGTATATTTGAGGAGTAAGGGGACACTTTATTACCAAAATCAACAGGCACAGATTTAGCTGAGCAGTTGCCCAGTGTGTCCTGTGAATGCACAGATGGACCCAACCCAGCACTGCTGTGTTTCTTTGGTTGCCCCTGGGGAAGTGCTGTAGGACCTAAGACACAGCATCCCAGACCCCCACATATGTCATGATACCATTACTGTAGCTAAATCTGTTGGGTCTAGCTGAGATTTTTTTCTCCATAGCAGCCCACATAGTGCTGTACTTTGTATTGGTGGCTAGAAGGTGTTGATAACACACCATTATTTCTGCTACTGTTGAGCAGGGCATGCACAGCTTAAAGGCTCTCTCCAACATTCCCTCACTCACCCAGGAGGCCGTGGGTGGGCAAGATCTTGGCAGAGGATGTAGTCAGAAAGGCTGACCCAAAATGACCAAAGGAATATTTCATACCACTTGATGACTGTTCAGCAATAAAAGCTAAGAAAAAGGAGGAGGAAAGGGACCATTTGTCACCACATTTGTCCTGTGGAACAACTGCTACATTTACTGGAGCCTGAAACCTCAATTGTCGGGAAGAGCCTGGACATCATCTGCTCATGGGGAATACAGAATACTTTGTTTACTTTAGCTCCCGCAGGTGACCTCTGCTTTTTCTTTATTAAACTGCATTTATCTGAAGCCATGACATTTTTCCATCTTATTTTCTCCCCTGCATCCCAGCAGAGGACGGGGGATGGAGTGGCTTGGTGGGTAGCTGGTGTTCAGCCAGGATCAACCCACTACACTCAAAAAGATTGGTTTTGAGCAGCCCTTGTTTCTCACCACCTATGCTGCAGCTTTCTGAGGCAATCCAGAGACACATAATGGATTCTGCTCAGATACAAATCCCAGTCCTCCTCTTAATCCACCAACTCAAATCCACAGGAGTTCCACTCTAATAAGTGGAGTGACACCAACATAAAGCCAATACAAGCTATAAATGAGATCCACCAAATACACACATGAAGTTTATGAAAGGCTTCAAGTTATTTGTCATGCTAAACTTCTGTAAACATTGCATTCCAGGATTCTGAATTTTAAACAGATTCTAAAAAAATTCTCAAGCTCAGTAACAACAGTGGGTATTCAAAAGAGATATGAGTGCAGATTTGATAGGAAAGCATTTTTGTTATCAGCAACAAGCACAAGGCTTGATGCTACTTAATAATCAAGTGGATTCCTAGGTACGACTTAGAAAAACCAACTCATGCAGTGGGGAAGGAGCCAGCAACATTTACAGAGCTATAGCTACAAGTATTTGTAAAGATTTTTGAAGAAAGCAGTGCAGAAACCTTCAGCGTGGTCCAACCTTGTATTATTACCAATAATTATTCAGGATGATGATTCTAATATCAAATAAGAAAAATAAGACAAATGTCAAATAAATACTTAATAATAATGCCATATATGTTTTTTCCACTGAATGTTCACTAATATTAAATTGCTTAAAATACCCCAGCAAGTGTCATTTTAAGGACTTTTCAGGAACGAGCACACAGCACAAGCTTTCACAAAATAAATGCTGACCCCAATAGTCAATGTTTCAGGACTCAACAGAGGACCCAACTAGAGTCATAGTCTAGACTGCTGCTATGTGAATCAGAACAGTGCTGTAGCAAAAAAACCCTGAAATACCTAACAGAGAAGAAAACTCAAGATATACCCACTAAGGAACAGCATTATCCAAAATTAAAATGTATAAATAGAGACTCCACAGAGGCAGACAAACTCAAGGAAATGCTGGCACATTCCAAGCCACCTCAGGGATAAATGCCAGAAAACAGAAGAAGGTTCAGAAGAGGCAGCAGGTCTCTCTCCCCCTCTGCCAAGACCAGTTAGGTCACATTTCCTCAGCCAGCCATGGTCTTTCCCTCCAAGTTGTATGTTAGGAGGCACTCCCCTGAATGTTTGCACAATAAGGTTCATCTTTCACCCAGCTGAGTTGAGCTGACCCTCCTTAAGGACTTCTCTGATAAAAGATACTCTCTGTGCTAGTTCTGGGTCACAAGATCATCAGAAAAGATATGCCAAAATAGGGATGGACCATTCTGGTGTAAACATACATGCAATTACAGTGTAAACTTACAATTAATTAGTGCTTCTTGATGACTCTTTTACTTAGGATACACTATTTTTTTACAAGGATATAGACCTTCGTAACCTTTTCAGGGTACATATTTGAGTATAGCACATGGAGCTAGCAATTACAGAAGATCTTTCAACCACTCCTGGAATTTAACAAAGAATTAAAACTGTAGCTGATCATGCCTCATGACAGACATCTGTCTGCTACAGCTTGGCAAAAGAATGCACTTTCAATACATCTGCTTTAGTCCTTTCACTGACTCAGAAAAAATAAAGAAAAAAGTGCAAGGGTCTTTAAATGCAGTAAAATTGCAAATAATTAGGAATAAAGCCTGAAAGTACCTGAATAATGAAAAGTGAGATCCTGCACAGACGCCAATGTAATGGGCAGTCATAGAGTAGCAGAGATTTTCATCAAGTTCTCTGCATGCCTCTGGTCCTCTGCTCACATTTGTCCACACTAATCCTCTCATGCTTTTGTTCTAGCTGGTTTTATGTTTCTGTTATTCATAGTGTTCTTCTATGCTCACTTCCAGTTATTTTTTTATACTAATCTATATAACAGAAACCTTTTTTCCCTCTTTTCCTTTCTCCTGCAAATTTGCTTCACACATTTCCATAGACAAAACCTAACTCAGAAAAAAAAAAAATTGCACAACCCAAAGGAAGTTTTCATTTCATCTCTCAATCAATTCCCACTTTTTATTTCTTGTCTCCAGGAACTTCCTTAGCCCTTATCTTGATAGAAGCTTATCTATTCAGGAGATTAATTTTACGTATCTTGAAAGTTGCTAGCACTCCTGGCAACACACAAATGGTAAACAAAGGCACCAAAAAATAAAACA